AAAAAAAAAAAAAAAAACATATTTCATTCTTCCGTCTCTCCCTACCAGTACTTGGCCACTGACCGCCTAAATTCCACTATAACATTATTGCTAAAGAGGTTATTTTCATTTAGGATGTCTATTTTCAGTCCGAAATCATAAACCAAACTATTCATTTACAATTTAAATTGTTTATTTTCAGTCTAAACTATCCAACATCTATATTTTCCAAACTGTCAATCTACACTGTCTAAGTAGGTTGTCCTGTGGAATTGGAGCGGACTGTTAGCTTTACAAAATACTTTTAGGAGGACTTATCGAATTGTCCCTTCGATAAAAAGTTTCATTCATAGGATTGAATCTCAATTATGGAAAAACAAAGTCGAGGTTATGAGGATAAATGAGATAAAAAGTATTGACAAGATAAGAGAGGACGAGATAGGGATAGATAGTGGCCACGTGGTGTAACGTTGCTTCCCAATTGCCAACTTAATCTATGCTTCATTCCTTGTGACATTGAAATTGTTGGGCTCAAAAAGCAATTTTGAAAAGTATGGGGCACAAACAAAAAAAAGAAAAAGGAATATACCCTTGTGAGAAGTTGCATCAACCTCACATTTGTCAAACTATAATATGGCAAGCTAGTATAGGTTAGTTCTGATAAATTGACATTTAATAATAGTCTATAAATTGTAGATTTAAATAGTGAATAATCCCAATTTTTGCATAATTTTATTCATATTGAAATTTTATTTATTTATTTTTGGAAATAAAAAAGAATTTCGATTCGATCCGTCTAATTTTTGTAGATTGTTTAAAAGCATCAGTGCTTATTAATTTGGGCTGGAAATTATCAAGAATCGGGTAGGATCCGGATCCAAAGTTTTATTTGGATCCATATGGGCCTATGCTATTTAGCCCAACGTTCAGACGACGCCGTTTCAAGATTCCACACACGTCAATCAAAGCTCAGAGTCAGAAGCCTTTCCAGCTGGTGAAACGACGTCGTTGTAAGACGTCACCAGTCAATCTTTCATTACGTTTCGAATATTAAGATGACGTAATATTTTCACGTGGCCATGCAGTAATACAGCAACTAATCCACCGTTCACTTTGATCTTGTGACGTATCTACTACATATACGTTTTTCCGTACACATGTTTTTTTTTTGGAAAAATAAAATAGTATTTATTTATTATAAGTCGTAGTTCTATGTTCTTAAATTATGTTTTTAACTAAGCATACATTGCATCACTAATTTTTTTTTAATTGTATTACATTGTACTAAAGCAAACATTACGTTAGATGTATACAACTCATCGTAATGTACTCATCTTTCACTATTTCGCTCAAATGTATTGAACGGAAAAACTTAAATCCACTTAAATATGTCTTAAGACTGAAGAAACAACGTTTGAATCACTACTAGAAAAACGCCATTTAGCAACGACAATAAGCGACGGAAAATGAATTTGTTTCTAAAACTAATACTTAGCAACGAAATTCGTGACGGCATACAAAATCGTCCCTTCAGCTACAAAGTTTGAACAGTAGCTACGCAAATTAGCTACGGACAATAAATTCGTTTCTAACAAAAAGATTTAGCAACAATTGTAGTGACAGCCAAAGATCCGTGACTAAAACAAAGTATCAATTATTTAATTCATGAATTCATCGTTAACCATTTTTCACTTTTCATTTCAAGATAAAGAAACCCATTTCTTTGCTTATCCCCACACTCCCAAATTCTCCAATCTCTCCTCAACCCTTTCGTCTCCCTCAATAACCATTCAATTCTTAGTCGGTCTACCATCTTCCTATACGCAGATCACCATTCCCCATCTTCCATCTCGTCGCCTGTTGAAAAAGGCAAACACCCAAAGGCTCTTAGTTTTCAAATCCGCCGCCGCCGTCCACAAGGCAATCTCTGTAATTCTCACCGAACACCGTTGCGGCACGCCACCCTAGTCGTTCGCCGGTATAGATGCCCGTCATTAGAGCCGCTAGCCATATTTGAAAGAAAACCCTAATCTTAAATTGGGTAAATTGTTTTTATTTCATTTTTTTAATTCGAATTTTTTGTATGTTTAATGTCTTGTTAGGTAAAAACCCTAATTTCTAATTAGGTTCATAGATTACTGACATAAACTCTAGTTGATTTGATAGATTTTATTTTATTTTATTTTATTTATTTATTTATTATTATTATGTTGAATAAATTGTTTGTGTAGTACTAGTGACAAAGATTTTGAAGCTTTAGAGAACAAATATTCAGATTGAAGACAACTGTAAGAAGAAAGGTTATTCAATTTCAGTTTTTGAATTACTTTAGAGAATGATTGTTATTCATTTTTTTTTGTGCTTGGTTTATATTATTTACTAATCACATTAATTATATGTTATTTAGTTCCAGGTTTGAGTTTCAAAATTGTGCGTCTGGACTGTATGTGAACAAGAACTAACATAATTAAATTGGGGAAAAATAACCGAGGCTGAGACACTTTTGCAATTGAGCAGGTAATATGATGGATTAATTAGTTTTTGTATAACATTTAGTGTATTATATCCTTTTGATTTTTTTTTTTTGTTTTTTCGTTATATTATAAATCTTTTTTAGGAAGAAGTGAAGGTTTAAAGAGTCGACCCTGTTGGTATACAAAGATGATACCTATAATTATGTACCGAGGATAGGAGATTTTGAGATTATATTTGCAGCAAATGATGGTTAGTTGTTGAAATATAATGGTTTGGTTATTCGTATTCCTTTTATTTTAGAATTATTTGTTTGCAATGATTTTAAGTTAAATTAATTTCATGTTTAATTTCTAGTTCTGCAACACCTGATACATGTAAAGATGGTCGAAGACGAGAGTGAGAATTTGAGCAACCTGTGTCTGTGGTGAAGGTATGCTACTTTAATAATTTACTAATTTTAAGTCATACATTTTGTTACAATTCTTCTCTTATCTTTATGATAAATTTAATGTTATGATTATTCTTTTATACTCATTCTACTCGATGCATCTTGCTTTACCACGCTATGTGTTGCATACAAAGTTATGATCTATCAGATATTGTCATAAGTTTCTCATTTTGTCTCTTTTCTCTTATCTGTCCTTTGTTTTTTGTTCCATTGCATTAATTTTTTCTTTTGGTTTACCTAATACAGGAGATGTTAAAGGAGATGATGCATTAGTGATAGTGGTTATATAAACAAGTTGGAGACAGTACTTTAGCTTGAGGTAGTTGGATGACAAATAAAAATGAACAACTTTTCAAGAGCGCAAGCTAATATTTCATACTGCCATCGAGCACCAAACTCAACCGGAAGGATCTGTTAGAGATACCATGTCAACATTGCAATTAGAGGATTGATTTTTTTTTTATTGTGACTATATTGCAAACGGTTAGAAGATTGTAAATGGATGTTCTGGTTGGATGTTGTATTATGATTTTTATCACACATGCAAAGCTATATATAAGATCATTTGCTTGATTTAATGTTATGTTCTCGAAAGTGTGGTATTTTTTTAAGAGTATATATGCACCAGGCAATAAATTTGAATAGGTGTTATTTGTGTTGAAATATTTAATAAAATCGAAAACATAATATAGATTTTGGGATAGATCTATTCATAGTAGTGACGGATTTTGCGAGAAAGTATTTGTTAAGATTAGCGACGGATTTGGCGACAACATACTCCATGGCTAAATGTGTGACGGATATCGCAACGATTTACCGCCGTTGCAAATTAGCTACGGATTCTACCTCGTCCTCGCTAAAATTAGCGACGCGGTGTTTATCGATGGCATTAGCAACGGACCGAATCTGTTGCTAAACCCTCTTTAGCGACGGAGTTTCGCAATTTAGAGACGAATATGTCCGTTGATAAATGACGTTTTTCTAGTAGTGTTAATGTGTTATTACTGTTAAAATCGATGTTAGAGACACTATCTAGATTGCAAAGCCCAATTTCATCAAAGTTCGCCTTCAAATACGAATAAGATATTGCATCATATCCGAAAACAAAATCCCTACTTAATTCGACAGCTCTCATATTGTATTATCTATAAACACAGACAAAACTCAAAGTCAAGAGGAGCGTCCAAGGAAAACCGAGAGAAAATGAGCTAGTGAAAAAAGAGCTGTGAGTTTTCTAATGTTCGCGTATACATGGACGAATCTGACAAAAAATAATTCCCTTACCTTTATTAGCAAGACTTTTATAAGTAGTGGGTGTATTTGGGAATTATAAAAGGAGTATGCCCTTTTTCAATTAAGTGTATTTATCATCCACTTTTTGTAATTTGCCAATTAAGTTAAATTTCCCTTAAAATAAAGAATAATTAAAAAAAAATGATTTAATCCGAAAAAGCAAAATACAAGACAAAACTAAGACTTGAGTGTAAATTGTTTTATTAATATTTTATTTGTCAAATTTATCATAAATAATTTGCAATTAATATGAAATTGAAGAGTACGTGGTGCAGCATGGATTGTACACTAGTGACTGATATTGTCAGTGGCATTATCGTAAATTAAATCAAATGCAGACCCTGTTCAAAAGAAACATACGGCATATAAATACGAAAGTCTCCATCACAAATTTGGTAGAGAGCTTCATTCATTCCTGGCTCTCTTTCTTACAATTCATTTCTCAGAAGCTTCCTCTCCTTCACCTTTTTTGTGATCTTATATATATATATATATATATATATATATATATATATACATATATAATATATACTACCTATTCACATATACCGTATTACGTGTGTTCATTTCACACTCAGTGTGTGTGTGTGTGTATCTACGCAATTCGGTTGAGTAATTATTCTGAGCTGAAATCTAAATTGAGAATTTTTAATTTTTTTTTTCTGAGATAACAATATTCTCGAAATTGCAAGAGGAAATGGAATCGGATTCGTGGAATCGAATTTCTACTTATTCGAGGCGCTATCAATCACGATCAGGTTTGTTTGCCTGTAAACCCTAATTTGGTTGTCGGTAAAAAAGGTGTATTTTTTTTTATTAATTTTTTTTCCGTGGAGAAATTGCGAACAATTTTTAATATTTTCCGAGAAATTAAGCGGAGTTGTGATTTTCTGATGAAGCTTCTTCCTTCGCCCAGGTAAAATGAAGGAATGATAGCAATTGAAGCTTTCCCAATTTCCATTTTTTTTTTTTTGCTTTCTGTCATGTTTTTAGCTGCTTCAGGTTTTGAAAATGAAAATTGTTTGCGGATTCCTCCTTATCTGGTTTAAAATTTCGAAGTTTGGGGATTTTTACATTTGGTTTCTGAAAATTGGGAAATTTGAGTTTGATTTTGCTAATTTAAAGATGGGATTTTTGGTTGGTGGTTTTCGGTTAATGTTTAGGTGGAAATGCACCGCAGCAGTATGATGTTCTTAATTGTGAAGTGAATAAGGGAAAATTGGTCACTTTTCTCATTTTCTGTTCTAGTTTTTCGAATTAGGCTTCTTGTTAGCTGTGGATTTCGGGAGAAAAAAGTTGCACTTCATTTTCTTTTAGACTTCTTTAATCCCATGTGAACTTATTGAAATTATGTGTTTTTGGAATATGCTACAGATGTATATAATGGAGAGGAGTATGAAGGTGAAGAGGAGCAAAAGTCGGAGTATTTGTGCCCGTTTTGTGCTGAGGATTTCGATATTGTTGGGCTCTGTTGCCATATCGATGAAGAACATGCCATTGAAGCTAAGAATGGGGTATACATTTCCTTCTTCTTCGTCTTGTTTATGCAGATACTCTTGCTTTTGATATATATGTTTTAATTACAGAGGATTCTTTAAATCGCCACAAAGAAGATTTTAAGCGAGATCATGATAATTCTCATTAATGACAATGATCACAGAAAAAAAAAAGATCAATCTGAATTATATAATTTTTTGGGTTAATGTTAAGACGAACTTTCTATTTATGCAGGTGTGCCCTGTTTGTGCGAAAAAAATCGGATCAGATTTGGTTCGCCATTTGACTGTTCAGCATGGAAGTATTCTTAAAATATCCTTTTTTTTCTTCTTTCGAAGATAGTTAATGCTATTAAACTGTGATAAGATATAATTGCCAATTCTGTTTTTCCTTGACCTGTTTGTTACGTTCAGCGGAGGAGAAGGTTACGTAGAGGGGCAAATTTGTCATTTTCGAATTTAAGAAGAGAGTCGAGGGAAGGAAATTATCTGCAAGCCCTTCTCGGTGGATCTTCACTTTCGGCTCCTTCTCACGCAGAACCTGATCCATTGTTAAACTCATTCATATACAATCCATCTCTTGTTGAGGAAGCTTCCAATGTTCAGCCTGTGTCTTCTTCAGTCAAGGCTCTCTCGATTGTGGAATCTTCCATTGAGGAAACTTCGGATAGGTACAATATCAAGCTGTATTAAAATTCTGAGTTGCAATCAATAGTATTGAGTGACTTATTTTTGGTTGTCTGGATAAAAACAGGGTTGTTCAGAAATCTCTATTGTCTGATGAAGACAAGAAAGAGAAGGTTCGAAGATGCGAATTTGTCCAGGGGCTTGTGTTTTCTACTTTTCTTGATGATAGCTTATAAGCAATGTGCTATTTTGGAGGTTGTGTTAATGGAGAGAGAGAGAGAGAGAGAGAGAGAGAGAGAGCAACGTAAGCAAGACAATACTTCGAAGTTGTATTATGTTGTAACTCGGCTGATGTCCGATTCATGTAAAAACATATTATGTATGTACTATTGACCTATGAATGCAGTATATGCTTATATATATATACTAGATTTGTATCTCTTTCAGATTAGGTCACTCTCTCTCTGAAGCAAAATTTTCAGGCAGAAACTTCAAATTCACAAATATCCCATAAAGGGGTTACACATAACCAAAAACTTAAGCCAAAAAAATACAAAAAAAGTTGTATAGTATACATTTGTACTATTCGTCATCGTCACTATCGGACTCTTAAAGTTGCATCAAGACTTGTGAATAACAGAGGCGTTTAAGAGAAACATTTTACCATTAAACAATTGAAGAAAATTCATCACACCTCTCCTATATATGCATTTGCTTGCAATTAACTCGGCATATTCTCTCAACTCTAGTATGGTAGTTCACACCGGGCCGGCCCGTATGGCCCACAATGCAGAAAGTGCTGAAAGTGCGTGCATGTTCTTCTCTCAGGGGGCTGAAGCTTCAAGTCGATACGTTTTGTGTTTTTTCTACCTCCACTGTGTGTTGTGCGTCATAAAGTTGTAATCGGGATGGTTGACTTGCAACAGCCGAAGCCAGTTGTCTGCAGCTCGGAGGAGAGAGTTGACTTTCTGCCCTTCGTAGACCCCAGTTCCGTTCAAGTCCGGTACTTTAAACTTGTAAGAAACAAGCCCAAATGTCGGAAGTGATAGCTTGTTACCAGCATCGTTCGCCCCTTCAGCAGTACCTGTAAACATAGTTTTTATCAAAAAAAAGAAAAACACTTCATAGTATTTAGTAAGAAAGAAAAGAGCTAAAAACTTACTTCTAACAGGTTTTGCCAGGGAATGGAAAGTCAAAAAACAAGCATCCACGTTTTGCAGAGACGGGCCTACAGGTATCCTATATATAGGGTACCTGCACCGTAAACACAATAAAAAAAAGAGGCGGTTTTTTCAGTACAAAAGACAAAAATACTAGGTTACTAGTTGGTTAAGGAAAGCTTATTACCAAGCAACAGATATCCAACTAGACGGTGTTAGATCACAACTTCTATGTGTTTTTAGTTCAGGAAAACTGGAGGCAAGTATTGACATCTGTCAAATGCAAAAAAAAAAAAAAGTTTTTTTATTAGATCAATAAGAAAAAATTCTTACAGGACCTTTGTAAGAAATAAGAAAGAAGCACTTGCCTTGTCAGCTAGTGGTTCACGGTGAAACGGGAGATCTCTCTCAAAGTACTCGAATATAAGCAGACCAGGCGGGATGCTGATGTCATCCCCGTGTCTGTTCTTCTGGCTTCTAGAAGCCCGAGTATTGTGGGCCCCTCTATCGGTTCCGTATTCACTTCCGCCATCACTACTCGTCTCTCTGGATGAATTAGCATCGCTCTCCTCACCAGGCTTTCTGTCACAATTGTTAAACCAATACAATGTTGAGAATACGTTCCTAGTAAATGACTTGCAAGACAATTCGAAACAACCGTAAAAGCTAAAAACTGTCTTCGCGTAATTATTAATTTTTTTTTGGGGGGTTACCTTTGATCGGAGAACTGCGTTGTGGGGTCTATATATAGTTGAATACCAGAGAGAGATGGTACGTAATATTGGACAACGGAACCAGTCCCGTTCCAAAGAAGAGGGACTCCAACTCCATAAACACTCCACTCCCTGAAAGATTCCCAAAGATCTCCAAGGACAAAGTACGGGTGGAACTCACTACCACGATTTCGCCACGATTTCATGCTTGTCTGTACATCTCAAAATGCACTTAATTAGATAAACCCACTTCATGATTAACACTAATAGTTCTTCGCAATTAAGCTTAATATAGATAAAACACTCGATTTGAGCTTCTTCAATAGTCGGTGTATACAAATTTAAATGTAGCAATGACACCATGCCTCTCTTAAAGTACTAACACCATAAAAGGAACAGGGTTACAAACATATCACAATTCACAAACCCGTGCATAGATCTTTCCCACCATGAAAGAAATTAAAAGAAAGGATGGTAATGAACAATGAGGAGAAATTGAAAATAAAATCTCCCGGAAAATCGAGTGAAAGGGAAGGAGCAAAAAGAAGGAACTGGAGACCAAAGTCGTTACACGGATCACATTTATCCAATAGTTTTAAGGGTATGTGGATTTTCTAATCAGAAGGAATCCGACAAGGAAAAGTGGATTTCCGACCTGCATCTAGTTCGTCAAATGACACAATGTAGCACAAATCAGATCAAGAAACCAATTACCTTACGAAAAGCAGCACTAAAGAATGACTAGTTTAACGAAAATGACATCTAAATAAAATTAAAACAAATCTAACAAGTAAAAACCTAAAGAACTAATCTCACGAACAAATTCCATCATTCAGTACTCTTTTCTGGTTAGCAATTAATGTTTCGATAAGATAAATCCAGTGCCAACCCGAAGTTCTGCGAGGGCTTAGCTTAATGTATTCATATGTTATCATAAACTGAAGATTAAAAGCGATAAACCCAATTCACTATAAGAAACAAACAACTAATTAGATGTCCAATTCACTTCCAAGTATGAATAATTTATCCCTAAAACAGTAGGAAAAAGAAAACGACTTTTTCATAAATAAAAAAAATTACCCTAGGAAAATGCTGGGCGGCCACAGCTGGAGTTGTGTTATCCAAGAACCGATCCAAATAAGAACCCGACCCGAATCCTCTTCTTTCGGGTACTGATGAAGATGAACTCTTAAGCTTCGATTGCTGCTGCTGCTGCTGCTGCGGCGGCGGCGGCTGCTGCTGCTGCTGCTGCTGCAACATCTGGTGGTGCCTTCTCATCGCCGGCGGACTGTAGTACAACCTCTCCTCCCCTACTTTCCTCCTCGTCGACATTTTTCTGCCCCCAAAATTAACAATCCAGAATGCAGAAGTTGCTGCTAATTGATTCCTGTGTGTAAGTACACGCGTCTATATATGCTCGATTTCTGACGTTGATTCTTCAATCAGTCGCTGAATGTTGTTGATTCAAGTAATTTTTAGGGTTTTGAAGGGTTTTAAGTTGAAATTGGGGGCGAATTTCTTTTTTTGTTAGGGTTTCCAAGACTGGGTTTTTCTTCGGATAGTCAAATAGAAATAAAATGAATTGGGATGCAAAGAATCGAGAAAGAAGGTACACAATAAGTACTGTGTACATCATTTCAGAGGATTCTATACCTAAATTACCGTATTAACCTTGTTGTATATACAAGGGTTCGTTATTATCTATTATCTTCATCAATTAAAAGAAAATGAAAGGAAAAAAAATTAAAAAAAAAAAAAAAAATTAATTGAGTTTTAACTTTTAATTACTGAGAAACTATAATTAATAAGAAGCTATATCTGTAAATATACACTTAATTATAGTGTGATATGCTTAATTGGGCCTTCATCCGATATGAATATACAACTGTAACTTCCAATAAAACATATTTGTTTCTTTCGGGCCTGGACTAAGCCCGTGGAAGAAATCATACCACATTGTCATTTTCTTTAAATAAGATCGGGCCCAATAGTATTTAACCCCCCTAGGCCCGAAAAAAGGGTAAATTACCACCAACTATTTGAGTTAAGGTCAAATTACGAAAAAATTCCTCTTGTTTGTGTAATTACAATCACCTTCTTAAACTGTAAATCATATTACACATCCACCCTTGCGGTGTTGAATTCAATGGAATCTATTAGACTATGTGTAATATTCTCCCAGTTTGTACTTGTTTTACCCCTATTCGGAAAATTCTTCAGTTTGTACCTATTTTACCCCCATTCGAGTTCCATATTTTGAAACAAGATGATCATAAAAAGCGTGTCTCTTGACTTGTAAATATGAGAGTATGGTGCATCTGAAAACTGCATTTTTGTACTAAAACAGTACAAACTAGAGAACCTTCCACGAAATCTAGAAGATCCTATTGAATTTGATAACATTAGGCCTAAGGATGGAAGTGCAAAAAAAAAAAAATCATAGCTGAAGGAGATAATTGTAATTATTCAAATATAAGAGGTTTTTCGTAATTTGACATTCCCATCTAGGTGACCTTAATTTACCCAAAAAAAAACCAATTATTGATAATCGTATGTGCAAGTTGTTTGACAATAGGGCCCTAGTCTTTGCTTAATTACTCATGCAATCCAGCTAGGTCAATTATTCTAGAAGATTATCACATCCTTCAAAACAAAAAAAAAAAGAAAAAAAAAAAAGAAAAAAAAACAGCCTTGTCTGAAAAATGGTAAACCAGACCTCACAAAAATATTGGACATCATTTTCAAATTGATATGTATTATAATTAATATCAAGACAGTTAAGAATAATATATTTTAAATAATTTTTAATTGTTTTTTAGGACACCTAATTCTTTATACCAATTCCGCATTACGTGTAAATCAGCTAATTGACACATTATTATTGCTTACATAATTAGATACAATATATATATTATATATAGATTGCTTTTCAATTAGTTATCTTGAAGACTAACACATGCATGTTTTATGGTAGTATATTAACTGTGGCTACAATTAATATTTGGCTATGGCGAAGACAAAATCATAACTTTGTATATGAAAACCTAATTTTGAGATTGATTTTCTTTTGAACATTATCCAGAATTAATTAGGACATATTATTTTTGAGCATATATTAATATAATTAATGTTACTTCGTACAAACAAGATTCCAGGTTAAGGAATTATTACCTGGACGAAGTTGACGGTCAACATTGATGGGCAGAAAAAATATTAATAAAATTAAAAATATATATTCATATATTGTAGGGACATATTTGAACGTAACTATTTAATCAATTATCGAAGAATATTCGATGAAGATTTCTTCATGAAGCTATGGACCTAAATATATTACTATTGTGCCTTGGACAACTTTTTAATTGCCCACGTTCAATAGATTAAATATAGGGAAAAATACAGTTTAAGTCCCTCAAGTTTGCATTAATTACATATTTGGTTCCTCATGTTTACAAAAAATACACATTTTATTTCTCATGTTTCAGAATTCAACATTTTTAATCATTTCCGTCAATACTTTGTTAGTACTAACGGGATCAAACTTGTGACCTTCAATGTCTTAGCTTATGACGGACAAACGGTAAATTGACGAAAATGACCGAAAGTGTTAAGTTATTGAAACATGAGGGATCAATTTTTTGTTTTTTATAAGCATGAAGGAACAAATATAGAATAAGTGCAAACTTGAGGAATGAAAACTTTAAATTTATCGATAAATATAATTGAGGCGGCTTTTGCTTTGTCTATATTAAAACAATAATCGATACATAGCCAATTATCAGTATAATTGAGGCGGCTTTTGCTTTAATTTGTCACACTTAAATAATTATCAATTGTTGCCCTTTTCGAAAAAATAAAAAATTAAATAATCAAAAGCTTTTCAAACTTTCTTCACTACCTACTCCATTGACTAGATTTACCACTTTGTAATGATTATGGATCATGGATAAGTGAGGAAGTTCATAAGGTCATACTTAGTTTAAAAGAAAAAGTGATCACTGATATTTCAGTTTTAGTAATACCGTTACGATTTTAAATTTGATTTTGGAGTCTGAATTTGTCAAAACTCAAATGACGAAATTTGTAGTTCTTTGAGTTGACTATCTAATTCAACTTAGAACCACCACGATTGAAGATTGGGTGAAAAAATATTTATGAGTCAATGAACAATGCCCACAGTTTTGATATTTTGAATTATCTAAAATTCAAAATGTAACTCATTCATGCATAACTTTGTTACTCGAAATCTTAGCTAGCTGTTTCAAGTTAGATTACGAAGTTAACTCAAATGACTACAACTTCCATGTTTTGAATTGTGCCAAAATTAAATTAGAAAATAGTCAAAATCACGTTCAAAATTAAAATGGTATTAGTAAAACTGAAATAACATCTAACATTTCACAAGAAAAATTGAAGGATTTAATTAATTCATCTAATTGAGCTAATTTTATACTTTGAACGAGTAAATTTATAATACAATTAACTAAAAGTACATTCATGGGAATCTTCCAATCTTGTTGAATTAAGATTTCATAATTAATTAATTGATATAGTTCGACAAATACCAAGTTGTATAGGTCCATTTTTATAAGTGTAAAAAAGAAGACTTATAATACACAATATAGACAAAAAAGTTGTAGGAAAATTGACAACGTTCTCATCTCTTTCCACATTACAAAAATTTCACCTATAAATAGGGCTTTTGTTTCTCATTGTTTTCCACACTCAAAGCAATTAATTATCTCTCTCTTAATTAATTTGCAATATATTTTCTTGATTTTTATTTATTTAAAAAAAAAAGATGGGTGCTATCACTTATGAACATGAAGTAGTGTCCACAATTGCTCCAAAGAGGCTGTTCAAATCATTCATCCTAGATGCAGACAACCTTATTCTCAAGGTCTTGCCTCAAGCCTTCAAGAGCTTCGAAATCGTCGAAGGTGATGGCGGTGTCGGAACCGTCAAGATCATCCATTTCGGTGAAGGTAACAACATCTATTTAATTTTATTGCACTATTCAAAAGTTAACAATGTTTTACGTAAATACTAGACTTTCGAGTGATATGCTGGCTCTGCCACTGAGCTTGTCAACATAATTTATATGTTGTAATAAAAAAAGTGGGGTTAATTGCATTTAGCACCCTCATGTTATAAATATTAGCAAAAAAACCCTTAGATTCAATTTTTTAAGCAAATTGTCCCCGAAAAATGATACATTTATTAGAAGACCATGTGCTAAATTAATGCATCATAAGGGGGTTTCTGCTAATATTTATAACACGATAAAATTCTTGGCAAATTTGATATAACAGAGGGGTGCTGAATGCAATAAACATTAACTTTTCGATATTGTATAGGGAGCCAATTCAAGTTCGCGAAGCACAAGATCGACGAGATCGACGAGGAGAACTTCGTGTTCAAGTACACAATCCTAGAAGGCGATGCTTTGATCGCGGGAGATCTCGACTCGATCTCGTACGTTATCAAGATCGAGGCGGGGCCCGATGGAGGATCGGTGTGCAAAACGACGAGCACGTATCACACGAAGAAAGAACACCATGGAATCACAGAGGAGAAGATCAAGGAAGGCAAAGAGAAGGCTAAGGCTATCTTCCATGCCATTGAGGCTCACCTCCATGCTCACCCTCAAGAGTACTGCGACTAAATTATTTTATTTATTTAAATATATATAATTGCAATTCATTGTTTTTGCAATTATTTAAATAAAGAAAAATGAAGTGTGGTGTTTGTGTGTTTTTTTGGATTGTTGTCATCTTTATATATTTTTAAAGGTGTGGATTTTGTAATAATAAGCATGAATGGTACTGGTATGTATCGTGTATGTATGATTTGGATTCTGTTTGTAATAATAATATTTCTTCTTTCTTTTTTTATACATGCATGTTTTAATTATTTTTATTATATATTACATATATACATATAGGGAAAAATACCATTTTTTGTCCCTCAAGTTTGCACCGATTTCATATTTGGTCCCCCATGTTCACAGAAAACACATCTGTCCCCTAATATATATATATATATATATATATATATATATATATATATATATATATATATATATATATATATATATATATATATATATATGACACAAATTGTTAAATTATTGAAACATGAGGGACTAAATGTGTTTTTTGTGAACATGGAGGACCAAATGTGTACATGGATGAAAATTGTGATTTCCCACATATATATATATATATATATATATATATATATATATATATATATATATATATATATATATATATATATATATATATATATATATATATTAGTTATCAAATTGTGTTTGATTTATAAAATAAATTCATATGTCCTTTTGTAACCAATATTCAACTAAAAGATGGCCCCATATATTATTATATTAACAGGAAAATTTTAATCAGAGACAGATGATTAATTATTTAATTAGACCTATATATATATATATATATATATATATATATATATATACATGATTAAATGTAAATACTTTAGACATTGCAGTCAAATAATATGGCAACAGATAAATCGGCTATTTAATTATAATAATAAAAAGCTGGTACATTTTCATTGATATTCATCTGCTTTTGTCCAACATTTATTATTGTTAATAAATAAAAAATGACATCAAAATATCAAGACTCCTCTAAATTTAATCTATAAATACCAGAAAAATTTCACAATTCAAAAAACATTAACACATCTTATATTATAAATTCTATCTAATTATATATATTTCATTTCCTCAGCAAATTTTAAAATAATGGCGGCGAAAACCGTTACAGTCACGGATGAGTTCACCAGCGCCGTTTCCGCGCCAAGGCTGTTCAAAGCTCTGATCCTCGATTCCGACAACCTAATTCCCCAAATTGCCCCTCAGGCAATCAAAAACGTCGAAATACTCCAAGGAGACGGAGTCCCCGGCACTATTAAGCAGATCAATTTTGCACCAGGCAATAATTGCTTCTCAATTATATTGTGTTACATTCATAATTTCATCGAAATATACTATTTTATATAGAGATCTGTTATTTTTCAAGCACTGTGGGCCCCACTCGATTTTTTTTTAATTATGCAGGGAGTGAATTTAAGTACATGAAACATAGGATCGACGCACTGGACGAGGAAAACATGAGCTATAACTACACGTTGATCGAGGGGGATCCGTTGATGGACAAATTGGAGAAGATAAGTTACGAGATGAAGTTCGAAAACGGGGACGATGGGGGGAGCAAGGGTAAAAGTGGAAGTACATATTATACAAAAGAAGGTGTTGAGATAAAAGAAGAGGAGATTAAGGCAGGGAAAGAGAAGGCAGCTGGTTTCTTCAAGGCTGTGGAAGCCTATCTCTTAGCCAAACCTGATGCCTATGTTTGATTTGATAATGATCTAATTCACAAATTAAATAAAAAGCCCTTTTATGTGTGGCCTATTTATTGTTGTGTTACTTTTCAAATAAAATGTTTGTAATATTGAAATTTGTTGTTGTTGTTGTTATAATAAATGAAAATAAAAGTCATTTGATGTTCTAGCTTTTCATTAAAAAAAAGGTAAATTAAGCCCACCTCTTAGAAAATATCAAATTACGAAAAAATCCCCTATGTTTGGGTAATTACAACCAACTCTCTCAACTACGAATTTTCGTATACACGTCCATTCTTCTGATGTCAAATTCAACAAAATCTTCTAGATTTGGGTGAATGTTCTCTAATTTGTACTCGTTTTGTTAAAAAATGCAGTTTCTTATATGCACCACAATCAAATCTGATATTTACAAGGCAAGAGACAATCTGTTGAGCTATTGTTTTTGGGTACAAACTGAAGAATATTTCACATAATCTAGAAGGTTCTACTAAATTTGACAACACAAGAACAAACGTGTAAGATAATAGTTCATAATTAGGGGGTGATTGTATTATCCAAACACGAGGAGTTCTTTCGTAATTTAACCTTACCTCGAGGGTCGTCATAAAAGAAAAAAAAAAGTTAATGACCAAAAGAAATCCTCAAATTATATAGATACCAAAAGTCATGCAACTTACATGAAGATGTTTCCTTCACGTGTTGAATGAGTCAA